CTGGAGACCCCGTTGACCGTGAAAAATTAATTTCAATGTCAAGTTTTTATTTTTTGTTGTATTTTTTATTATATTTTTTGCAGGGAAATTAAATGTTTTAAAATGGACTAGAATACAATATTATTATACAAAATAAAATGTAGACAGGCTATTGCGTTAAATTATTTTAATTTATTTAAACCCAATATAAAAATACAAAATTATCGTAGGTAATTAATATAACTTGTAACATTTTTTTATTTTATTTTTTTACTGTCTTTCTCTTAATTTTCATTAACTTGTATAGACTTGTTTCGTTGCTAGCCTACTATTGCGTAACAAAGGGAATTGGCGTTAATATAGATAAATTTAATCTTTAAAATTTTTTGGCCACTTTATTTATTATTAAATTTTAAGCTTTGAACATTATTACATTTTTATAAATTATAACATAAAAAAAAATGTTAAAACTAACATATTTATTGAAAAACAAATTCGCGAAAAATGACGTACTGCAAAATATATTATTAAATTATTATTATTCTGTGATAGGCGACAATTTAATAATGATTATTTTATTATATATGCAAAAAAAGTATGCAATATGCAAAAACATATTTTATGCAAATTGCAGAATAACCTTTTGGCACAAAAACTAAAAATTAAATATTATATTAATTAAAAAATATTTATCACAAAGAACTTTTCCACAGCAGTGATACTACTAATTTTTTAGTAGTTTGCAGTAAAGAATGCAAAAACAATTATTGTGTGTGGTTTTTAATTCAAACAATTACCATATCAGTTAAACGATGACTCCCAGAAGAATGCTCCTAGAAAGCACTGGGAGTATGATATGAAATAGTAATTACCCACTTAAAGCTTAATAATCATCATTTTTAACCTTAATACATTCATCGTAAGGCCCAAGACCTTTCCACGTTTCTTGTCATAGGCTGAGTTTGAACCCACTGGGTCGCATTGTCACACATGACTTGTTCAATTGTCATTCCTAGATCCTAGAGGCCTATGGTAAGGATCGTTGGAAAGTCTCGTGTCTAATGATTAGTATTAAGCTTAAAACTAAAAATTGCATTCTCAGCTCCTCCCGTTGGACCTAAGGTCATTGGACAAGTCTCTTGGTCACACACGACTAGCTCCCTATCTCGTTGATGGTACTACACAAGCACTTACTGGACGATTACAGGACTACTTAGTCTCTTAAAATAACACAGTCCAACGTCTCGGTCGATGAGCACCCTTAATTTGATTTGTGATGCGAACGATCCTCTTTATAGTGTCTGTGAGCTACTTGTTTTTAGGAAAGGGGATCCAGCGGCTTGGGGACTTCTCGAGTGCTAACGATTAACAGTGAACACAACCGAACCGTATCGACGAGGAGAATAGTTATACTCGAAGAGTTCTCATTCTCACACAGTTGACAGACACTGTTTTGCAGGTCCGTTTGTCCTATAAAAGCCTGCCGAAGTCCTGTTACATATTGTTCAACTAACTATTATTGAAATGTTTTCAGTCAACTCGATCAACGGTCTTAATTAGTTTTTAATACCCATCCAATTTCGGTCCCTTTGTTAATTGTTTAAGACTATACCATACACACTTCGGGCGACTAGAAGCTAAATAGTTATTTGAATTGTCTTAATTGTTCCTTACAGGCACACGTTGCGTCTGTTACGATACTACGTTAATAGATTCACTCGTTATTTGTTTGTTTACATTTTTAAATTAATGCAATCAAAACACGTTAATTTTTATTGTTAAACAGTCTAATGTAGACATTGTTGAAAAGAACAATAGATACATTAACCGGTGGTTTTATGTAACAACAAAACCTTATTAGTGTTTATTTTAAGATTAACGATTTTCTATGGATTTATTTCAACTCAATAATTACCTCTGTTAATGTGACGATGATTTTTGGCTGAATGATTAATTTACTCATTTACTCGGTTACTCAATTTATTTACACGAATACTCGATTTGCGTACTCGGTTACTTTATTTATTTATTCCGTTACTCGATTTAGTAACTCGTTTACTTGATTTATTTACTCGTTTATTCGATTTACATACTAAATTTGCTTACTAGATTTAGTAACTGATTTACTCGATTTACTTTCCACGTTTATTTACTATACTAAGTTACTCGTTTTCTGTATTTATTCACTCGATTTATTTACATTTGCTCAATTTATTATCTCGTTTACTCGATTTGTTAACTCGATTTTTTTATTCGTTCGCTCTATTCGCTGCAGACTAGATTTATTTGTACGGTTACTCAATTAATTTTCTCAATTTATTAACTCCTTTACTCGATTTGTTTACTCGTTAACTTAACTTATTTTTACGGTCCCTCGAATATTATTATCTCGTTTAATCAATTTACTTAATATTTACTCAATTTACTCGTTTACTTGATATATACACAATATTTACTCAATTTACTTTATTTACTTACTATATTGATTAAAAAAAATTTACTCCGGTACTCGATTTATTTACACTGTTACTCGGTTTGTTTACCTGGTTAATTTATATTTTCTTAACTTTAAGTTTACACTTAATAATAGCCTTAAAACATTATAATTGTAAGTTTTCTAACTTTAGCCGAACATTTCATGATTTTTTTTTTTTATACATAAAAAGGGTTAAATAATGAAACGAGGTTAAACGCGATTCGTACGATTTGTTTGTGTGTGTGTGTGTGAATCGATTTGCAATATTTTGCTGACACACGCGTTTTGCTATGAACTGAATTTTCTTTTGGACAGATGGACCCGGGCAATAGCCGAGCGGTGTACAACAATGTATTATATTATAAAAACCGCCTGTACACAATGTCTGTCGTCGGTGTGTTCAAATATCCAGCTGGTGCAAATGTATCCAAAAATAGCTGTTTTGTCACGGTCAGTTCTTGCCCAAAACAATTACAGCGGTCGGTGAAAAAATCAAAAAATCCTTCGCGAACCGTTGGTGAATCGATTTGGCATCAGCACAAGAAGATCATAGAATTCGGCACGCGTGTGTTGGACGTCAGAAATAGATAAAAACCAAAATACTCAATTTCGAGTGCACCGTTAGGTGCCCAACTATAAAACTGTGGGAATGTAAAGCGCAAATTAAGGCCATAATCGCTAAATCCTCACACAAATGGCATAAAATCCATCTATATCTATTCCAATGTACCTTTTTTTATGCCAAGGGGAGGCTTTATGAATATTTAGATATTTTTTTCAACAATAATATGTTTGGCCTAATCGTGAAGTGGATACACAGTCAATTAAACACAAATGATTAATAATGATAATACCTGTCTATAATAGCACCTGTAGAAAACATGAAAACTAAATTATTATATTTAAAACGATAATAATTATAATAATAATAATTGATCACAATGTCGCCATGACACGTATATTAAAACGGTGTTGGTTTAAATCGTCAAGTGTTTCGTTGGACGAAGGCGATTCTGTATTTAAAAGATGTATTTTTTTTTCTCGTTAAATAAAAAAAAGTAGTTTAACCTTAATCCATATTATTATAAATCGTGCATTCGAATCGACCGGTAAAAATGTGATGTACATTTAGTAAAGCATATGCGATAATTATAAAAAAGTAAACTGCACACAAGAGCATTGGACGTTTTAAGAGTAGCAATTAAAATAGTTAAAACGATTTCGAGGTTAACCGTTTAGTTATTATTTATTTGTATATTTTTTTGCTTAACGGTACAACCGAAGAAACGTATAACGTGTATGTCAATAAAAATGTCATATCATACTGGTTTGTTTTTATACAATGTATTTACCTTTCATTCGGTGGTGCACGTCAATCCGGTTTCGGATTTATTTCTACATAATAATATAAACAAAAAAAAAATCACATATTATACCTAGGTATAAACGGCTTATCACGATGATCCGACAGTTGTGCATTTTATTATACATCTTATGATAATATAGGTACTTGAGCACTTTTCTGTCCGGTCATAATATGTAGGTTTTTATTTTTAAACGTTTCAAAATAAATGCCAGCAAATCGAACGGTGTGTCCGGTACACCTAATCTAACGGGGTTTTTCACTGGTGTTTTTTTTTTGTGATGAAAAACCCAAAACTATTGTAATAATAAACCGGTGGGTTTTTTTTTTTTACTTTTTACAGGTTCCCGGGAAAATGAGCTTTTTTTTCTGATTGGTCTTCCATTCTATTTGTTACACTCGAACGGATATCATCGACACTCTCCTATACTGCCAATTATATTCAGGTTAACACGGTTCAATTTGCATACAACACCCGTTAATGCTGGACCACAATACACCTACCTACAGCTATATCCTCCCACGGTAACGACGGCACGGCTCTGTACACTATAGATATTTAATATTTTTTTCGGATGTGTAAGAAAAAACACTTATAAATATATATTAACAATAAAAACATTGTACTTGAAAAAAAGTCAGATTTTTTTGTTTGGTTTTTTTTTTTTGAACCGTTTTGGATGGCATGTTATTTAATGTTGTATATTTTTCTAAACGAGAACGGTTTGTTCGGGACGTACTCAATTTATTATTTATTTTTTAAAGTTTAGAGCTCTAAATTTTACTAAAAAAATTTTTTAAAAAATAGATAATAATTCAAGTACATTGCAAAATAGTTAAATTTAACTAAAATCAGTGTCAAAAAGACAAACGTATAAAATGGCAATAAACCTTTTTTTAAAACGAGTTCATCTCAGTTCAATGAATCACCCTGTATTTATTTACAGGGTGATTTATAACACATACATACCATTCGAGCCAAACGATAATACTGTGTATACCTGATATTATTTTTCAACCGTGAGTCAATTAAGCAGGTTGACTGTTTTCTTTTTGATTGATTCACAGCAATAAAATATGCAACTAAAAGGTACAAAGATCTCAAATGAAAATTTTCAATTTTTCTACCGTTTTTAAATTTAATCATTAAAAAAAAAAACATAATAATAACAAACCAATAGACGTGCGTGTAAAATTATTTATTTTATTAAATAAATAATATTATTATCGTTTTTAAACGTATAAAAAAAATATAAAATTTAAATTCCTACAACAGTCTTTATAATAAATATATAATATATTATATTTATATAATATATTATAATATATAATATCTATATACCGAACATTGACCTTATCCTAATAATTGTCCGTGTTAGAACTTAATTCGTTATAATTAGTGTTATTTTAATTTTAAGGTATTTTATTTTTTTTTTTAATATGTATTTTATTGTTGACTTAGATGTATATAATAAAAATAAAATGTATGAATATTAATTTGTAAGATTAAACGCAAAAAGTACATTCATTTTTTTTTTTATTGAACTGTTTCAATTTGCATTGTGCTGGTTTTAGCGATTTTTTGTTTTTGTTTTATGTGAAATCAATATTGAAATAAAATATATAATCATTGCGTTATGCGCAAAACCCTATTGTTAATATTGTGTTCATTTTTTTTTTTTTTGTTCCCTTTTGGACATTTTTTTAGACACATGTAACTGTATGAAAAAAAAAAAACATTATAATATGTTTTAATGAGTGTTGTTGTTGCTGTCGGGAATTCCGGTTTTCTGTTCGGCTTGGTTGTTCAACAGTGGAACGATGAGACTAGACAATTTGAAACGATTCCTGAAACAATAAAAAAAATAAAAATATATAAAATATATTATACGAGAATAAAATAAAATATTACCGTTTTTTCTTAGTAGGTAATATAATATATATTTTAAATTATCACATCTAGATTTTTATGTAAAAAGAGTAATAATATTTATTATAATCCGGACATCCATGACATTATTTTTTTTGTTTTAATTAATTCAACCAAACACAACTCTGTATGCGTGTGTGTGTTTAAATAATATTATAATTGAAAATTCGTTTTAAATATATATATATATATATATATATATATATATATATATTAGTTAAATACGACCTTATAGGTATGCCGTTTAATTATTCCTTTCGGTTTAGTACGTTCTATATCGTGGTAATACTAGAAAAACCACAATTACCGTACAAGAAAAAACTACTCTTATAATATATATATATATATAAATATAAATATATGTGTACCTGTTATTTTATAATAAGAAAAGTATTATTATTATTGTCAGGGAAAAAGAAAGGCATTCCATTGAGTTGAAGTGAATAAGTCCAATATATATACATATATATATATATATATATATTTATATATTTAATAGAACATTGTATAAGCCAAAATGTACAAAATGTGTCATTATAAGTTTAAAATATAAATTATTTAAATTTTAATTAATTTTGTTGGAATTTAGGTAAACAATATTTTTATTATTGTAATTGTTTGTGGGAAATTTAACGGTGAAGAGTACAATATCTCAAATAATATAGTTGAATAAAATACAAACTATTACTTACTTAATATTCAACCGAGACGTTATAAGTAAGTAAGTAAGTTTAGGTATTATTAAAACAAACGAAAAAAAAAACACATGAAATGTAAAAAAAGAATACTTCATGTTTTGGATTGTATTTTAAATGTTTAAATTATATATTGAAATATAATAATTTATGATTTAAACTTATTACAAAAAAAAAAGCTACAAAGCTTTAAACCCATCCGTTATAGTGTAACACCAAAATTATTGTCCAAACTGTAATTATTGTTTTCAGATAATATTATAACGCGGCCAAACATCCGGTTTGACATATTATATATTTTTATTATATAGATCTAAAAATCCACTTAAAAATTAGACAATTATTTATTTATTTTTTTATTGGACAATTATTGACCATTTAAAAAACAATGTGCAGTTTCTAAGCAACCTTTTTATTATAAATGATTTTCCCATTGATCAATATCGAGTATATATATATATATATATTTATATATATATACATAAACAATATAGACAACAGCTGTTGGCCATTGTATAGTCTTGATAAACGTTGTTTAAATAATATCATCAAGACTAGTATTTTAATCACTACTCGACACAAAGCTGTATAATATGTATTACAAAGATTGTTCAAAATACGGTCACGACCACTTTCTTCACAAGACGCGCTTCGTCTGCCCAACGAAACATCTTAGTTTATGGTCAAAAAATGTAATTCAAATTTTCAATTTTGTGTGTAACTGGTCACGTTTTTTTCTACTGCAGTAGGAAATTAGCTGTCTATCTGCACGCAATTGTTGGTTGAAATATGTAAATAAACATTAATACTCGGCCGAAAAATTAGTATAAATAAATCTGATGACATAATAGAGAAAAACGCAGTAACTTTTTGAAAAAAAATATATACTGTTTCACATACTATACATTTTGTTGCTAAATCAATGTGTTTATATATATGTATTCTAAATACAAGATGTCGTACACAGTTTAAAGTAAAATATACTTTTATAATATTGTAATTGAAACTAACTTGTACGAAGGGAAGGGGAGGGGGTTAGACAAGTATAAATAATAATAGCCGATATTATTTGATTCCAATATTTCATTGAAAGAATTGTATTGATATTTTTTCTCATTAATATGTTTGTTGTAAAATTAATGTTATTGACACATATAAATGATCATATTATATTATATTAAATTACAGTATCATATCATATTACATTATATTATATATGTTATATCATATTATATTATATGAAATTATATTATCATCTCATATTATATTATATCATATCACATTATAATATTATACTGTATATAATATTATTATTTTATTTTCGTCACAAGAAACAAATTCGTTTTAAGTAGAGTAGAAGAGTTGTACGCTAAGACGGTAAAAAGAAATTGTATATGTCTGGAGAAAACTGTGCGGTTGTTATTTTGTTTATACTGACTTTTTGGCGGCTTGCCGGATTCGGTTGTTGCACTTGAAACCGTTGCAGTCGACCGTGGACGGCTTGTTCTCGGACGCGGCGCCAAACTGATCCGACAGCAACCCGGCGCCGGCCATGGAAATGATCCCGAATAGGCCGTCGGCCGGTGCCACCACGACCTTGAGGTCGCTGAGGCTGATCCGCACGTTCTCGGTGCCGTTTTGCCGTTGGTCGTACACGACCTCGTCGGCCCCGGCGGCCGCGGCGGTGGCGGCCGCGGTCGTCGCGGCGTCCGCCGTGGACGTCTGCGGGGCCGCCTCGACGACGGCGACGGCAGCGGCGGCCAGGGCGATCAGCAGCATTACGACGTACGTGCACATGTCACAGGTTTTGGCAAAAAAAATAAACGAAAAACGAGCCCTGCAACGACGGCGGATAGCAAAGTTTCTCTGGCGTGGGCCACGGACAGGAGGATGTGACTGGGCAAGGACGAAACACTGTCTGGACGGCCGGACCGCGGTGGCGACGCGGCCGCCGGTCACTTCTTCGGACTCCTACTTCGCGTAAACCGGTCATCGGCCCGCAGAAACCGTTCGTGGGTCATTGACGCGTCACGCACCGGCCGACCGTTATTTATCATTTATCATCGATCATGGACCATCGATCGCCGTACAGGTACTACGTATCATTATATTGACTTCTTGTTGTATAAATATAGAATTTGTCATTTTCGTTGTTCGCTGCCAAACCCACGCGTAAACACTAAACACGTTTATCACAACGTGTATATGACGCAGGTACAAGCCGGATATGCCGCATAATATACCGGGTGATCCATTCGCAAAGTTTTTAGGTTTTTGTTAAATATAAATCGAGGAAATAAACCGAATTGGCGAGTAAACTAATAAACAAAGCTAGTAAATCAGTAAACAAATTGAGTAAACGAGCAAACAAACCTATTAAATGAGTAAATAAATCTAGTTGATAAACCAAATAAACGAGTGAAAAAATCGAGGGAATTAGTAAACAAATTGAACAAACAAATCGAGTAAATGAGTAAATAAATCGAGTTGATAAACCAAAAATAAACGAGTAAACAATTTGAGATAAAAATCGATGAAATAAGTAAATAAATCGAGTTGATAAACGAGTGAGATTTATAAACAAGCGAGCAAACAAATCTATTAAGTTAATGAATCAAATACATGAATGAATAAACCGAGTAAACGAGTGAGTAAATTGAGTAAACAAATCTAGGAAACGATTTAATAAATCTTTGTACGTTTTCTCGGCTCGGCTCTCCAGCGTTAAAACATTATACTTTATACGATATTAATTACTGAATACTATAATTGATTGATATTTACTTTTTCTCAATTAATATTTTCTTCTAATATCCGCTTCTTCTTCTCCAGAGCACTACCGATTTTTTTAATTCCAAACGGGAACGAACAAATAGGTGTAATTGATATATATTTTCAAAACAAGAAGAATTTGCCGGAATTGGACGACAACCAGTTTTTGGATAACTACACGTTTAAACTTACTAAAGCTTAAAGTCCGGAAAGGGGGAGGGAGAGAGGGAGGAAGGGAGGGTGAAAGAAGTATATTTTTTTCTACGAGCAAGCATTACTCAACCACGCTTTACTCGTTTACTCGAATTATAAACTCGGTTTATTCGATACGTTTACTCGATTTGTTTAATAATTTACTCAGATAAGTTTACTCGTTTACTTATTTATTTACTTTTTACTCGTTTACCGGATTTACTTAAAATTTCGTACAAAAACATAAACCAAATTTTTTTTTTCTAAAAAGAATGACGTTACAAAATTTCAATTTTAATTGTTTTCAAAATCAAATAAATGTCCTTTTTTTGCTGATTTTTAAGCCAATCCGTTTTTAAAACGTTATAAAAATATTTAATTTTATAAACGGGAAATTCTGCAGAAAATATAATTTAAATGCGAAATAGCTTCGTTGAAAATTATTCAAACGCAGAAAACAGGCTGTACATTCCACAAAACTGGTATTTTTTTCCAACAACTTTGAATGCTTCTTTTTTTTTGTGTATTTTTAGCATAGCTGCAATTTGTCATTTGCGATAAATAAAGCCCCTTAAAAGTAGTATACTATATTGTAATGAAAGTTGTATTTTCACATTTTCACACGAACAAATAAAATAAAAGAATAGTCGCTTTCTAGACACTATATTATTATTATCATTATTATATGTAGGCAAGTGTGTTGTTTGCAATAACACAAAGAAAAAACACTGACCGTTGTAAACCGACAACAGCGTCTAGACGGCAAATTAGTATTGTAAATCAATTTTAGACAACATTGACAAAATTGAATTTAAAAAAAAAAAACAAATTCTATACAGGTAGGTACAAAAGAAAGGAATAGAGTTATTATGGAGCGTTTGAAATTAAACCGTTCCAACGTTCTGGTGCTAATGGAATTTTTACTGTTGGGTTCTAAAAAGACAGCGAGAACATTTTAACTGTATTGTATCTGCGCCAGGCTTTATTTGAAGAAGAAAAAAATACAACAAGACAGTAATATTGTGCAGTTGAATAATGATAATAATAAAAATGGAACAATTTTAATCAATATACTTACTAATATATTTATTTAGTAGCATATACACAGCGGGTGTCATGTAAAGTCCTACCGAGCTTCAAACGAGACGTTCAGGGTGCTCGTATCTCGTCAGAAAATGGTCTTACGAAAAAAATAATTTCAGATTTGAAATCAGGAGAAAAAATCTTGTTGAATCGATATGTAACATGGTTTTTTTTATATCTGGCCACACATACGTCCACGGGTGGCACCGAGTGGCCGGCATGTGACTAAAAACCGACAAATGCGACACATAATTCAATATAAAATAATACTAATAACACCGCTGAATTGAAAGTGAAATTCTAACCCAATATGATGTGTCACATGTCATAAGTTGGTTTTGGTCATACGCCGGCCACTCGGTGGCCACCCTGTGGACGCATGTGTGGCCAGATATCAAAAAATCGTCTAACATATCAATTCAACAAGATTTTTTCTCCCGCTTTCAAATCTGAAATTATTTTTTTCTCAAGACCGTTTTCTAACGAGGTACGAGTTCTATTTTAAATTCAAAAAAAAAAACGAATACCGTTTATTGTACAAACGTGTCAAATATATTATGCTACAATGTATAAGTTTGCTGATTTGTCTGATCTAGTCTTTATGAATCAAATTACCTATTCTGTGTAATTTTTTTTTTTTATCCATTTTAAGGTTTATGCTCGAATCATGACCCGGTTGTGAATGCACATGTTATACACACAACGAATGTGACAAGCGACACACAAGGACAAGAATAGGTTATGTCTCAAACGTGATCATCATGTCTTGGCTCTGCAATTCGGTGTCTTAGATACACACGGAGAAGCACAATTAAATTCTTTGACAAAGTAGGCACACAACATATAATGTAAGTATGTTTTCAACAATGAATTATCATTACATTCACCACTTGGACTGGAATTCAATTCCTTATAATATTTCTGATGCCACCCACAATGCTGGCAGTAATTTTGTCTCCATTATATTTTTTTCTTATTAACATTATCATCAATTGTATCTAGTGTCAATCTCCAAAAAAAAAAAAAACCTTTCAATAAACAGTATATCATTATAATCATACTGTTCTAGCATAATTATTATTTAAACGTTATATTTACTTACTTTTTGTTACATTTATTTATATTATGGTAATATTTTTTTTTAAAGAAAATCATGTTTGAAAAAAAAATGTTTTGTTGAAAACTGCAATTTAAGAAATATTTGTGGGTTATTCGAATAATGCACAGCTCTGTGCTTGATATATTATATAGTTTTTAATATTATATTAATTTAACACTGAAAACAATATTATATAGAAAAACTAACAAATTGCCATTATTTCTCAACAATATCGAGTGCCATTCGTTAAACGGATCAACCCTTAAACAATATACAAAACAATTAATTATTTAATTAATACCGCAATGGTGTAAAACACAAAGCCAAAGGGTAGTATTGCAGATATTAGGGTAGATACACAAATGGGGTTGAAAAAAGCCGGCACAGGTTTGCAGGAATAATTATTATAAATGAAAATGATACAATAAACTTTTAAAAAAAAAAAACCACTCCTACCGTTATTGGTCATTGCGTAGTTAGGTATTGGTCGTAGATTAAATTTGAATAACGCTAAATCAATTAAAAATAATTAACACTTAAATAGGGCAAGTACACAGATGTGGAGCTTGATGAGAAAATAATTAATTAATTTTAGCTACGTTTACTAAAAAGCTTAGATTTTGACGAAGAAACGACCACACTTTAAAACAGCCATTCATTTTGGAAATTGAAAACTTCTTAAGAATTACTTTTTCTTTAAAACTCATTAAAAGTTCATACGTCCCAAAATGTTCAAATGTCAATACTTGGAAAATCTTTTAAGTGGAAGAGTATTAAATGTGGATATATTTTATTATAACAAGCGAACAACAAAGTAGTACCGAAATGCCGTTTGATATTGTTATAATATCTCGATATTATAAATAAATGGTAATATCAAGATAAAATATAATAATGACAGGATTGTTTGCAGAATGTTACGCTCAAAGTTCAAGCGAAAACAACGGTTTAAAAAAAAAATATGTAACTGCGGTAAAATCCTAAATTTAATGGATTTTGAAAAAAAAAATATGTTTCAACCAATTTGTTATAGAAAAAACATATGAAAATTCTAAAATTGATTTTATTCTTCTTCTTCTTCGGCTTCCTCGCCGTCATCGATATTTCCGTTCTGCATACCTTCTTCGTCTTCTTCGTCGTCGTCGCCGCCGACCTCGGCATTTTCCAATTCGGCTTTCTCCATTTGTCGTACCAAATCGGCTTCGTCGCTGGCCGTGACCACTTTGGGCTAAAACAAAATACGTACAACAATAATGAAAAACAAAAATGTCTATAGGTTTAAGGCATCGCATTTGGCAAACACATACCGGCATTTGAATCTTAAAAACGCCGCCGAGATTTTGAATTGTCTTGTCGATTTCTTCGATGGCCGTTTGCAAAGCTTTTAAACCGTCGGTTTTTTCAGGAGTCGCAGTCGTCATTACTAAACAGACAAATACACAATTTTTAGGTCAACAGAAGCAAAAGCGTAAATTTTCTAATCTTCCCTCTGAAATTTTAAACTCGTCCGATAATGCCCCGAAATGTTATCCGACTCAATAGTGGAAAGGTTTTCGGTAAAATGATCAATTAACATAAATAAACGCGTACCGTACAACGGAGGAGCGATCAAATTGATTTTAATCGGAAGTTCTTCGGTCGAGCACGCTAGACCGGCTTTCAGTGCAGTTTTCACGGCATCTATTCCTTCGTATCCGTAACACGCAACCTCGATGTCGGCTCTAATTTTCACGGCCTGCGAAGTCAACTTGCGTTTGATATTGTTCAACAATACGTTCTGCGTGTTTTCGTCCAAACCACATTCCGCCAATATCGATGGGTCTCTATGGTAATAATTATAAAAAATATGTAAATTAAAAAAAGTACCAAACAAATTTCGAATCGTCTAAAAATAGGTATCTGTTGAAATTGTTTTCAATACCAAACAATACAAAAACATACTGTACTGCTTGTTTGAAAAAATCGTAAGCCGACGACTTCTTTTTGGTTCTTTCTTCGTAAAACCAAGCCGTTTTGTGGTAGAGCTCTTCGAATTGAGCGTCAGACTCGAAATTTAACAGTTCGGCGACGTGACGTAAAATAGAATTGACGGCTTTGGCTTTGGCAAACCTTTCTGTACATTTTTCAATGTCTTCCGGCGACACTCTTCTTTTACTCAAGTCGATATAACCTGAATTGTAGGTAAAACAATGTGTAAGTGTATGTTTTTTCCGAACGAGTTACCAAATAGAGCGTTACCTTTTTCTTTGTCTACACGAATGACGACAACAGGTTCGGTCTTGCCGATACGGATGAGTTTGTTAATGGATCGAATACGCCGCCTGGACAATTCCGAGAGCAATATCATGCCTTCGATGTTGTTGTATTCTAACAGATGTACGTAAGCGCCCATTTCTTCGATGCTACGTACGTTGACCATGACGACATCGTCGATTTCGGGGTAACGTTCCGCGTAGAAACGACACGACAACGGCATCTTTACCTGAAGAAACAAACCGTAGGTAAAAAACACAAATAACAAGAAACGGTCAAGATTATTAGCGGTATAATAAAAAAATATCAATAATAGTAGGTGTGTACTATATTTTACTTTTTATCAATAGAAAAACGTTGAATGCAAACGAAATATAATATAATTATTATTATTGTTACTCTATTCTAAAGTAGATAAGTTATTTTACCGAATAAAAGTCGATTCGATTGTATAATTAACAACTAATTAAGATCTACAATTTTTGTACATTTTTATTTAAAAAAAAAAAAAAATGTTTTAACAATACTACACGGGTTCTGACGCAATCAAAGGAAAATCGTCGCCTACTAAAAACATAACCTCACTTTTCAAAAGTGGTCGCATAAAAATCGGTCACGTGATACAACCGCAAAATAAAATGAAAATCAGAACGGACACTGATAACAAATCACTAAGGACCAGATATTATATTCGTTGAAGAACTCCACAAACATGGCGGATAGATTTTTTATTTACATTTCGAAGTGTCCACGCTGATTTCATAATATTAACTGTGATAGAAGTATCGTTTTGTAATAATTTTAAGTGTAACTTTTAAATTATATATCCCACGAATATAGGTAGGTATTTAAATACTAGGGAACTTGTTATTAATTATTATTGTTACCTACTAAGTACAAACTCTAGAATAACATTAAAAAAATAGTAATAAAATTTATAATTAAGACCAATGGATTCCTATTTGATAGTATTTAACTCTTGTTTGAATGAACAATATATTATGGATACGGTTGACGAAAAACACATTCAGTTATTCAAAGAAAAAAGGTGCAGTGATTAAAGTCTATAAAAAAAAAAGTTATAAAACTATACTGTTAATAATTTTATAACACAAAATAAACTATGTAAATCTAGATTAGAAAATATAACAAAAGTGCGGATTCGTTGCTTATAACGAAGAAAGTATAAAAATATATAAATTCCAAGGTTATGGCACCGACATATTACCTAATTAATAACTCGTTTAAAATTAAAATTATATTAAGTAAATTATACAAGTAATTGTAATTGATTAAAATATAAAGCTAGACAACTAACGGTAAAACCTTACTATTTTTATATATTATATATTATATAAATCGACAAATTTTTGTCTATCATAAAATTGCTGACACTTTCAACAATAATTAATAATATTATTATATTTTAGAACAGAAATTAGAAAGTAAATTATTTTTCTACTCTCGATCCGGTCACAATAACAATATGTTGTAGCGGTTATTATTGAATTTCACTATTTTCAGATTGGTAATTAATATTTTATTAACGATTGACAATTTGATGAACCTCTGAAAATCGTTTAAGTGTTTATCCGTTATCACATAATAATGATAATATAAATAATAATATTATGACGTCCTTCGCACGACACCGTTGCCAACGTTACCAATTCGCGCTCCACGTTGCCAACTTAAAAACCGGTAATTCTAGATAATACTGTTGTAGCCGGTAAAAACAACATAACAATTGTGTTCACTGTTTAGTGTTGTTTGACTAGTATCGCATTAACATATATAGTAATAATATTATTCCTAACGAATATTCATACATTTTTATTATCCGTGTTATTTAATATTTACACGGTATAATACTTATTATCTAATATATATATATATATATATATATATATATATATTTGTTATTGTCGCTGTTAATTACAATTTGAATATAACCCAATATTCCAGTCTGCAGTCACAACTCGTTGCATTAGCCTGTTGTGTTGTGTACCGTTCGTTGCTGTTCGATTTACCATATTATAGTTTTAACTTTGGCCATTTTTTCATTTTGTTTCCGTTATTTAAAACAAACGACAAACATTAAACATGTTCGCGTCCTTCAAAGTCGACGAACAATTGTTCAAAACGTATGTGTTCTATTCTGCCATTTTGGTGTTGAAAGTTTTGGCCATGGCATTGCTGACGGCTAGACATCGGTTTGCCAAGAAGGTAAATTATATAAAACCCAATATTAATTACTCTTATTCTTGTTGACTGTTTACAACAAGGTCAAAAAAGGTTTTCATTCAACCGAGAAAGTTTGTATCGGGTATAATGCCGGGTCGCATAAAAAATTTAACGGTTCAATTAATACGAATGGATCGACGATCACGGGGCACTACATTTTGCTTGAGTATCCACTAAACATGTTATATCAATTCATTAAACTTTTCACAAACGTTTTTGCCATCCGCCACAAGTATCTCATAGCTTACTGTTAATATCCAGGTACATTATTATTTAGGAAATAAATAATTGTCATAACAATATAAATATTAGTTAATTTACAAATTGATTTCATAGTACTACCCACAAAATTATGTACTTACTTTCAAACACGAGTTGAAAGCATTACCAAAAACGGGTGAACAAGGGAAAAACTAAATTGATTTTGTAAAATAATATTCCATTCTGGTTTCAAGGTTAAAAGCATATAATATATGAAAATATTTCAACATTTTTTTATATTAGAAATCTCAATCTGTTCAATAAATTTAATTTTACGTTATTTAAATTGTGTTATATTAACTCCAACAAATTTTGCACTATTATTATATAGATATATATACACTTTACCGTCCATCCAGAGTTATTTTTGTGTAGATTATTACGGAATAACGACTCTTTTAGATCAAAAGTTATAGTTACTCGTACTTTGAGTCATACTATTAATAATTTTACTGTAAAAAAAAAAATTAAGGAAATTAATACAAAGAAGCCTAATTATGTAACAATTAACAATACTAATATGGACCCTGATCCGAGATAACTTTTGGCTACAATCATTATAAAATGTCAAAATATGATTTAAAATACTGTTGGAACCGTTTAAATTGTGGTGGTTTTAAGGAAATACAAAGTATTGGCGGGTTTACGATATTCTCACCATTTCAAGTTAAATAAAATATATGTTTAATTTTTAATTTGTAACGTTTGGTTGTGTTCACTTGTTGTAGATATTTATGAATCCCGAAGACAGACTGGACAGAACGTCCAAAGTAAAATTTGACGATCCCGATATCGAAAGAGTGCGAAGGTAAAGTAGATTGTTGATTGAGTTGGTTTTTGACTTGAAATTGAAAATTTTTTAATTTTTTTTTTCCAGGGCACATCTTAACGATTTGGAAAATATTCCATTTTTTATCATAGCCTGTTTCGGATACATATTGACCAATCCGAACGTGTTTTTGGCAACAAATTTAATCCGCCTGTTTGTCGGTGCCAGAATTTTACATACGATTGTTTATGCGGTAGTCGTTTTGCCGCAACCTTCCAGGGCTGTAGCGTGGTTCGCCGGTTACGGGACGACTATTTACATGGCCGTTCAGACCATTTTAAGTTTTTTGTAATAATAATATAGTTGGTACTATGGGTAGTGATAAGTAGGTGTATACATTTTTACTAAATATTGTCTTATCGATTAAAATATTATTTGTTCAGTTTAATTTAATTTTGTTTTGTAATAATGGTTTTTATTTTAGTTTTAAGGGGAAAATATTGTAACAAATTACACCCATTGAGAGTTTGTAAAAAAAAAAAAAAAAATACACTTACATATTATGTATCATTTTTTTTTTTTATAGTAAGATTTATATTAATAAGAATTTTAGTATCGCATTAAAATATAGTGTAATTATTCCCAACGAATATTCATGTATTTTATTACCCGTGTTATTTAATATTCACACGGTATAACAATATACCTTATTTTATAATATATATATATATATATATATTTGTTGCCTACTATGTTTGGATATTTACAAATTGAATATAACCCATTGTTCCAGTCTGCAGTCACAGCTCGTTGCATTAGCTTGTAGTGGTTGTGTACGTCGCTGTTCGATTTAGCGTATTATAGTTTTAACTTTAGCTGTTTTTCGTTTTTATTTCTGTTATTTAAAACTAACGACAAACATCAAACATGTTTGCGTCCATCAAAGTCGACGAACAATTGTTCAAAACGTATGTGTTCTATTCTGCCATTTTGGTGTTGAAAGTTTTGGCCATGGCGATGCTGACGGCTAGACATCGGATTGCCAAGAAGGTAAATTTGATAAAACCCAATATTAATTTAATACTCTTATTCTTGTTGTTGACTGTTTACACTTTAATCGAAAACCTTTTTGAATTCTACCGAGTAAGTTTGTATCGGGTTTAATGCCGGGTAGCATAAAAAAATTTAACGGTTCAATTAATACGAATGGATCGACGATCACGGGGCACTACATTTTGCTTGAGTATCCACTAAACATGTTATATCAATTCATTAAACTTTTCACAAACGTTTTTGCCATCCGCTACAAGTATCTCATAGCTTACTGTTATAATATCTAGGTACATTATTATTTAGGAAATAAATAATTGTCATAATAATATAAATATTAGTTAATTTACAAATTGATTTCATAGTACTACCCACAAAATTATGTACTTACTTTCAAACACGAATTGAAAGCATTACCAAAAACGGTTGAACAAGGAAAAAACCTAATTGATTTTTCGTTTTGAGTAAAAATTTAGTAAAATATTCCATTCCTGTTTTCAAGGTCAAAAGTATATTTTAAATAATTGTGCTATTTAATTCCAACAAAGTTGTTTGCACTGTCTATTATTATATAGGTGTAAAATTCACTTATTGCCCATGTTGAGGTATTTTAATTATAACTCCTTTGGATCAAAAATGATATCTACTCGACCGTTGAGTCATATATTACTAATAATTTTTTTATGAAAAGAAAATTAAGGAAATTAATGTGTTTATTTTTTTTTTTATAAAGACACCTTATTAATATGTAACAATTAAAAAACATTAATATAGACCTATTGATCCGATATAACGTTAGGCTACAATATTATGAGAAAATGACAAAATATGCTTAAGATTGCATTTCAAGTTAAATAAAATATATTTTTAATTTTAATTTGTAACGTTAGGTTGTGTTCACTTGTTGTAGATATTTATGAATCCCGAAGACAGACTGGACAGAACGTCCAAAGTAAAATTTGACGATCCCGACATCGAAAGAGTGCGAAGGTAAAGTGGATTGATTGAGTTGGTTTTTGACTTGAAATTGGTAATTTTTCAATTTTTTTTTTCCAGGGCACATCTCAACGATTTGGAAAATATTCCATTTTTTATCGTAGCCTGTTTCGGATACATGTTGACCAATCCGAATGTGGTTTTGGCAACAAATTTAATCCGCCTGTTTGTCGGTGCCAGAATTTTACATACGATTGTTTATGCCGTAGTCGTTTTACCGCAACCTTCCAGGGGAATAGCGTGGTTCGCTGGGTACGGGACGACTATTTACATGGCCGTTCAGACCATTTTAAGTTTTTTGTAATAATAATATAGTTGGTATTATGGGTAGTAATAATAGTAGGTACACGGTTTTTACTTAATGTAGTCTTATCGACTGAAATATTATTTGTTCAGTATAATTTAATTTTTTTTCTTCTAATAATGGTTTTTATTTAAATTTTAAGGGGGAAATATTGTAACAAATGACACCCGTTGAGAGTTTGTAAAAAAAAAATTTTTAAAAATACACTTGCATGCTATAGATGGTTTTTTTTTTTGGAGATGTTTTTAGCGAGGTGATGGTCTTGTAACGTTGAACGTGACGAATGTCTGAAAAAAGTAACATTACACTTTTACCAACTAAAAATAATTTTGTATCCAAAGACAGACGGCATCTGATACGATAATAAGCAATGTCATTATATGAAACAGGGTAATTTCATTCAAATAACATTGTATTTTTTATAAACATAATATACACCAAAAAACAGTATCGTAATATCAGTATAGTAATAAATAATCTTATATGTATGTATGTAATTTTTTTCCAATACAACAACGAAACGAGTAATATTTTTCCATTACAACTGTTGCAAATCCAAAAAGAATTTAACGCCGGCGTACCCTTTTGTCGACATGGTGTTCTGCAACACTTCTTTGAACGATTCCAATGGCAACGTCTTGTTAGCAGGAGCGACCAACTCGCCGTCCTTCATCATTTTCGATAGTTCGTCGTACATTTGCTGTCTCTGTACGGTGCCCGCATTTTGTTTGTGCCATCTAGTCATCCAAAACCCTCGGAGTTGTACGTCTTTGAAGATGAACGACGCCGTCGGTACGATCACGGGTTCTCGTGACATACCACCGTACGTTACCATGACGCCGCCGTTGTCCAGAGTACGTAACACTTCGGTGGAACTCTTTCCGCCGATATTGTTGAGCGCCAATCGTGGTTTTGGCAAAGCTCCGCTTTTAAAAATATCCGTCGTCCTGTACAAAAATATAATTTGTAAATGATTTCAAATGGCAAATAAAGTAAAATATTTAATGTTTTATAGTCACACCTCAGTTCTTCGTCGGTCAGTACGTAAGTAGCCCCTAGAGACGTGAGACGATTCTTCAAGTTCCCCAAGTCTGGTTCGGGTCTTTTACGGATTACGTTTACGCTCTTATATCCGTAATGTCGCGCTAACTGCACGACGTTTTGACCGCACGCGCTGTTGGCTCCGTTTTGTATGATCACGTCGTTTTTGTTCAAGTTAACGAAATCGTGTAACATGCGATACGCAGTGCACGGGTTCGACGAAATCCCGCTGATGGCGTGTATGTCGATGTCTTTGTCCACCTGAAACGACGTTGTCCATTACACCGATTGAGCAATAATATATTGCCTTCCAAGACTCAACGGTGTAACAAAAAACTGACTTTGACGAGTTCGGAAGAACGAAATACGGCCGCCGTCCGCCAAGTACCGATGACGCCTTCGGGTATTACTCGATCCCCGGGCACGAGATGTTTTACGTGCGAGCCCACGGAAATCACTTCTCCGACGCCTTCGTATCCGGGACTGCTGGGCAGCGTCGGTTTCACGGGGTACACGCCTTGGATGGTGTTGATGTCGGCGGGATTGACCGGCGCCACTATCATTTTCACGATCACCTGAGAGGCAGTATAACACAAACAAACAAACGAGTAGGTAGTAAACAACAACGAAACAACACATTAGCGACCAGTACGGTATGAATAATCAACCGGTCGGACGTACTTGATCGTCTCCTGCCGTGTCCGGAACGGTGTCTTCGACGAGTTTGGCCACTTTGATCGGATCACCGAATTCTTCGAATACAATTTTGCGACACTGCACGTTGCGCGACGGTCCGGCAACGCTATTCGGTATGTTCGACGGTTTTGCAAGCACCGACCATAAACGTTGACGGTACATGATTGAACAAAATATAATATATTATTATTATTATTTTTTTGTTTAATCTAATCTACCAATAGGTTAATATATTATAATATTACAAAACAATAACAAATTAAAAAAAGAAACAATTGACATAAAAAACGATTATAATATTATATATTTTTGTTTAATTTATATTCGGTATTTCACGGACACATTTATTTTGTCGTTATCTGATGTTTTTTTTTTTAATGATAATGTTTATCATAAATATTGATAGTAGTGATAGTACAGTTATCCCTCTATGATAAGGCAAATAACGCGAATGTTATCAACAAATTGCAAACATTTTACACATTGTGCATCGAGTAGAAAAATCTTTCCACTCATATTAGTACATTACGGTAAAAAGAAAATATTTTTTATTTTTATTTATAATATATAAATAAATATTGTTTAATTTAAAATTACCACTGGAATATTAAGAATACCACATTTAATCAACATCCCATTTTTTACTCAACCCAGATGAAATTACCACCATTTGGGGTAATTACCACACAATCGGCAAGACTGATCATAATAATATTATTATAACGATTACATTGATGTTCCAAATTATCCCTCAAACCCCGTCATGTGTTTTTTTTTTTTTATATTATTATCAAAATGCCGGTCGGATCGATAACAGCTTTAGCCATAGTGAGACGTGCACGTTAGGGAAACCTACGCGGACATCGAGACAAGTGTCCGCCGCCATTTTGTTTTATGATTTTCCATGGACATATACCTATAACTATGCCGGCGACTCGTATACGAGTGTCCCTTCCGGTCGAATCTGTGCTCGCTTGGAAGTTTTAGTGGCTGATAAGTGATCCGATTCGATACGACGTCTCCAATTAATATTATGTTATGTTATATGTACAATAATACAGCAATAATAATTAATATATTCATCCTTCGTCGTGCCGTGACGTTTCCTTTTGTGATTTGTGTACATTGTTGATTACTATTTGTTAATTATATTCTTATCGACTCGCACTTTGGATTTGTTTGATAAGTTTCTGAAGTATAATATTTCACATTGTTGGAGCAATTTATTGAGTATATAATAAAAAGGCCTGGTCTGTCCATGTCGACGGTAATAAACGCGCATATTTTACAGTCGTCTCGCACAATCGTGAACTGCACCGAACGACACGTCGACAAAGCACTGGTTTTGCGATAGAAAAGTATACTTGGAATAAAATATAAAAACCGAAAAAAAAAAAATGAGCGATCGAGTCGACGACAAGAAGCCCATACGAGTGTGGTGTGACGGATGGTAAGTTTGGTAACTTGGATAACTGTTTACATTTTTTTTTTTTTGTAGTTTTAATGGTTTTTTTTTTGTTTTTTTTGCCCCCCCTCCTCCCAAGTTTCGACATGGTCCATTTCGGCCACGCCAACTCGTTGCGGCAGGCCAAAGCTCTGGGTCAATATTTGGTCGTCGGCATACACACGGACGAGGAAATAACCAGACACAAAGGTCCGCCCGTTTTCACGCAACAAGAAAGGCAAGTAGACCATCGGTGCGATCGTGCCGACGCACATTCCGCCGCCTTGTTTTGTACACTATTGACTACAGTTATTGATTAATCGTGTCACAACGTAATCGAGCCAAACGGGACGTGTCAAATTTTTTAATAATCGAGTTTGATCGAACAACAAATATACATTGATAGATGTCAACAAACAAAAAAACTATTATACTGCTAAGTAAATTTAAATATTTTTCACTATTGTTTTTTCGATAAGATGATAAGATAAAAAAAATTATATTTTTTAATTAATTTATACAATTTTACGATCGATTTGGATTTTGATTTTTCTATAAGCTTTCTCTACCGTAAAAGTTTTTGACCTCGAATAATTTTAATTAGATTAAAGTTGATAGTAACGGTGTCGTAATTATATCGGTCAAGGTTTAGTTTGTTTTAGGATTATAATATCTCAATAATAGTTGGACTTTTAATAAGAAAAACGTGTATTTGAGTTATCAAATAGAATTTGATTCGATTGACTAGGGAAAAAGCCAAGCGTAATATTGAAAAAAACAAATTTCCTAATTCAGATTTCCCATTTAAGGTACAAAATGGTTAGAGCGATTAAATGGGTCGACGAAGTGGTGGAAGATGCGCCTTACGTCACCAATTTAGAAACTCTGGATCGGTACAACTGCGATTTTTGCGTTCACGGAGGTAAAGTATTTGGACAATGTGGGTTTTTTTCTATACACATCAATATTGTAATAATAGTATTTTTTATTTAGACGATATTACGGTCACCGCCGACGGAGTCGATACTTATCATTTAGTTAAAAAAGCTAATCGATACAAGTATGTGTGTGTTTTTTTTAAATATTAAATTTCGGCTAACTTACAAGATTACGTATTGTTTTTTTTTCCTCCAACGATGAAACTAAGGGAAGTGAAACGAACTGAAGGAATTTCAACGACGGACGTAGTGGGTCGTATGTTGTTGATGACTCGGCAACACTTTTACCGAGGCGATAAAGAATACATAGTCGAAAAAGAACGTTCATCAGTGATGGGCCAAGATTGTCTGGCCAAAAGTCCGTGGACTGGATGTTCGCAATTTTTACCGACCACAAAGAAAATCATACAATTCAGCGAAGGCACGGAACCTAAGGTATTGTTAAATTTAAAATACAATTATTGCCCCCACTGCCAATTGATTGTAAAACTATACTTAACCACCGACCGTTGTAGCCTACCGATAAGGTAGTTTACGTTGCCGGAGCTTTCGACATATTCCACGTCGGCCATTTGGACTTTTTGGAAAAAGCCAGTAAGTTCGGAGACTTCTTGATTGTCGGTCTCCACACCGACCCTGTGATAAACCGGTACAAAGGTTCCAATTATCCAATTATGAATTTGCACGAACGAGTGTTGAGCGTTCTGGCGTGCAAAGTACGTACACTGCTGTGTGTTTATAACTTGTCATCGTCTCTAATATAATTTACACACGTTTCAGTATGTATCCGAAGTGGTAATCGGAGCGCCGTACAGTGTGACGACCGATTTGATGAATCATTTCCAAGTGGACGTCGTTTGCCACGGCAAGACGTCTTTTCAGTTGGACATTAACGGCCAAGACCCGTATGCCGTGCCCAAAGCCATGAACAAATTTGTCATCGTTGATTCTGCAAACGACATGACTACGGAAAAAATCGTCGAGCGCATAATCAACAACAGGTGATTTTTACGTTTAATATATTATACCAAGTGGTGACCATGACCCGAATTTATAGCTAATAAGCAATTGAATTATAATACTGCAACTCAACAGTGTGTACCTTACTGGTACCTAATTAGGTCTTCAAAGATAGTGTTATCTATTGTGTATATCGGTCGACAGTTTGCGCATGCCCGTCCGTTCAATATTATATTAGTCAATCTAGAAAATTTGTGATTCTTTTCGAGACTAATTTCATTAATAATAAAGCCTACAATCACTATAATATGCTTATACATTGCTAGCCGTAACAGCTCCTACATACCCGTGACCTCCCCGACCCCGCTGCGTTGGCTTTTTTATTTTATCTCCACGGATAACTTTGCAATAAGCATATTTATATTTATATTCTCATTGTTGCGTTGCAGACTTGAATTCGAAGCGAGAAACCAAAAGAAAGAAGCCAAAGAAATTGAAATTATCAAGCAGTTAGAAAAGGAAAAACAGAACTTGCGGTCGTGCTAGCCGATTGTTTCTTTCTCGACGAACAATGTACTTTCCTTAAACAATAATATACTCTGTATGTGTGTATATTGTTACTATTTCTTACGTTTTCATGTTACCCATTTTATTATATTTTTTTTCTCCCAACTCAAATAATTGTTGTATGATTTTTATTTTATTATATTATTTATTATTGGATGTTTTAATTATAAATTTTTTTTGTTTTTTTGGGGGGGATTAAAATTGCTTACATTTGTATTCTAGTGAAAATTTACTTTTAAATTTATACCCACAATATGATTTATAATGTTTTTTGTTTTATAAAATATGCAACTGTGACGGATAAATTATATTGTGCGGTTATACTCGATGTGATAATATATATATATATATATATATATATATGTATTTTATATAATATTACCATTGTGTGTGTGTGTGTGACAAAACAGTTTGCGAAAAAAATAATAGAAATATAACCATTTACCAAATAGTATCCCACCCCCCCCTCTTCTACTCCCAAAGATTTGTAGCACGATATCATCGGATGTCTTGGAACTCGTAACGAACACAGTCAAAATTTAATATTATATCCGTTGTACGTCTTTAATTTATAGCAATAATTTTACAATATTATTACAAAAATTTTATGTCAAGTATTTTTCATTTTAAAGCCGATACTCGTTTGGATATATCTTATTCATATTATAATTATTTTTTTAAAATATTATCGTGTTCTTTAAATAATTGTAATCTTAAAAATAAATCGTATTACTTTTTTTCTACGTCTTTTTCAAATATTGTAAATAGTTTTTTTTTTTTTTTTTATTGAACTAGTAAAGACATTTATGGGTTAAATGTTACTATTGTCCCCTCCCTCCCCAATAATTAATTGACTATAATATTTTACGTATTGTGCTATTCGGCTTTTTCATTTTATTTAATACGTCATTTGTATTTTCCATATAGTAATGACAATAATATTCTATATTTTTACCAAATCACCATTTTGTAACGATCCATTTATATATATTTTTTGAAATGTTAAGAAACAAAAAAAAAATGTTTTCTACTAATTTATAAAACGGAATATAATTTCCATACTTTTTAAGCTGTTTGAACGTAAATATTTTGTTATATATTTTACTGTCCAACAAAACATACCAAATAATTTTTTATTTTTATAATTAAGTTTTCAGTGAATTTTTAATGTCATGAGTAAAGTAAATTTAATTGTTATTATTATTATTTTTTTTTTTTACACTAATTAATACAATCTGTAAACGTTATCTTACAACAGGTAGAATAGAGAAAAGATAAAGATTAGCTTGTGTGGACAAAACCGCCCATCGATGAGATACTCCACGAGAAGTAATTACTAAAACTTAATAGAGCCAACGTTGCCGTACATGGTAATTATTTTATTGAAACAGTTAAATGCTTTTTTAAAGTTTCAAATATTTGTCAGTTTCTTGTTAGTAAATTTGCAATTTTTCCACTATTAAAAACCAATTTTTTTTTTCACATAAAAAATTGCAAAACATCAAAAATTTGTTTGTTTGTTTTTTTTCACCTAATCTATTAAAGTTACTAACTCGGTATGTCGTTACAGAATGGAAATCGGACCGTCCTAAGTAGTGGAAATATTGTCTGGCTTTTAGCTCTGAAACAGACCTCGTGCAATCCCCTTAAGGCAAGGTCATACCCAAAATAGTGCTTTTGTATTTCCAACGGTACGGAGTCTACAATGCACTCGCAGGTATGTATATATAAATTATAAATAACAGTTTGAAAGATGAGAACTTTGACTGTGTTTCGTTGGAATTGGATTTTAAAAAAATATGCCCATTCTTTGTGCCATATATTATTGTTCCTGCTCCAAACCAACGGCTATCGAAAATAATTGGTTTCCAACAAAATGTAGAAAAAGTCAAGTTACAATTTAAGATTTAGGCGAAAAATTGCCTATACACTAACTCCTCGATAAAAATACAGACAGTAACAATATGTCCCCTTAATGTTTATTTGCTTATGGTGATTTCCGTAAGGTGTCTTTTGGAGAACAAAAAAAAAAGGATAAACAGGTTTAACATTTTCTTTTAATCCCCACATGCTGCAGTCCAGGACAGGACTTGGGCTTCTGGCCAATGTTAAATTATCGTTTTAAAAAAACCGAAGACCTATAAAGTGTGATCATCGTATCCTTTCCTGTATTTAATGTCGACCATGTTAATTTGTACGGGGCATGTGGATTTTTTTATTTTTATTTTTGTCTTTTAGTCACCACATCCGGTGTGCGATTACCCTTAACAAGACGACACATGACGTCATCGCTTCTCGTTTCATGTTTTTTTATTTTTTTACCCCCTGTAATATCAACCTATACAGTTTGCAGTTTGCTGTACATTACACCGGCTGTACCTTCTTGGCGAGCCATATGCAAACACTGTCTGACTGACGCTGCCATATGGAAGGTCGTCCATTGTAAAAGTGGTGTAACTGCAAGTTTTTTCAAAAAATATACATATACTTGCTATCATATTTTTTGCTAATTTAATTATCATAAAATTGAAAGTGATATATTGATTCGTGGAATGTGGATAAGACGATTGGGGGGGTTGCTTGTCCGTCTGTAATAATGATATCTTGTGTATAATGTCTATATTATTATGTTCAGATACCTGTTGGCTGATGGTTCGTTCGCACATAATATAAAACCGCTATAGAGGTTTACTGCGGCCGCCAAAGTAGATAATAATTTTCCTCGTGTTTTTCGGGTATTCCTTGAAAAGAAAAAAAGAAAAAGTTTTATTGTAGATTTATGAGGGGAAATATTAAGCACATGCTGCGTTACATGGCTCCATTCGGATCTACGTTAAGAGGGCGTCGCACCGCCCATTTTTAAGTAGTAAAGTATGGGCAATTGTTTACAAAATCTTTAATTTAAAGGTTAAACCGTGATGTGTAATTATTAGTGACGCCCTCTTAAGCCTTAAAAACACACCTGAAAAGTATACTCTACACTTCATGCAGATACACCAACCAATACTTGGATATTATGTCCTGCAATCTAGTATTTTCTTATCCGCTATCTTTATTAATCCACTGCTCCATATACTAGTGTCTCATCCTGTATAACCCCACACACGTTGCCCAGGTTTTCCCTCTATGTGTGTATATAATTTATATTAATTTAACACGCACAGTAGCAATAGTACAATCCTTACACTTGGTAACACGGTAATTATTTCCATTAGGTTTTTCTTTCGTTTAATTATACAATAATTAATAGCTACTGTTGTACTGTTTTTTTTTGTATTTTTTACCGTGTCTGTACGGTTAGTGCTTTTTGTTAACGCTATTAAGGTACGCATAATAATATATACATATATTTATTGTATACTCAAACAGTAGGCGGCCGAATTAAATTATTCCAATTACCATTATTGTTATAAATACCGCGTGTGGTCAACATATCGCACTATAATCGGTCCACCGGTTAACTGGCTCTTAATACTTTTTTTAGCTTTTTAAAATTTACTTTAATGCCCCTCGCCAGTTAAAAAACAGCGTATATATTCTATTAAAACGGTCTCGCCGGCTCGACGCTTATGCGTTTTTTATCGTTATTATTATTTTTTTTTATCTATAAAACAACAGGATATTATAATTTGGTCGAATGATTGTCACGACGGTGTTTCCTCTACATATTATTGCTTTTTTTTTTTTTTAATCTGGACGACCATTTTTTAGTTTATTCATCATCATCGTTGTGAACATATTGTTATGATTCACCGTGCTATCTATACTAATCACTCGGTCACAATAATGTTTTGATTCACTGCACACCGAATGTAATTATTTGTATACCTGTGTATATTTATATTATTTTTTTTGTTAACCAATGCACAAAGCCTTCGCAGTCTGAAGAAGTCTGAATCACTGTGCGATAATTGCAATGATTCTTTGTGTGTAGACATTCTTAGAAAAGGGGAAAATTATACATGCCATTTGCAAATCACACCACACCTAGTGGAAAAATATATATATTTTGTATCTTAGGGAATTTATTGCAAAATTACTAATTATACCGTAGGTATTGCTTTAGACTGGAAATTAAAACATAATATATTGCATTGGCTAGTAGGTCTTAAGCTTGTTAATTTTTTATCGTATATTATACTATGGCTTAATTATAAGCGTAGACAGGTAATTAGTTGCTGTATGTATATCTGTGGCCACGGGTCGGACTTAAGTGGTTTCCCATTTGTTATCTCACGCTGAGTCTTCATATTCTTAGACCGTGAAAATTTGAAGAAAAGCAAACTGTGTGTGAAAATAAACAAATAATGTATAAATACTATATGTTTAGTGTCCGGAAGTTTATATATTTGTAAGTTTTTACTGATAACAGCTGGACGAGCTAGAAAATTTAGAACCACATTTTAAAGACATATAAAGTGAATTTTTTTAGCCAAGTTCATTTTTGTATATAATATGAAAATATCAATTACAGTATAACATAAATTCGAAGGTATGAGGTATAAGTAAAAAGTTGACAATTATTTTGTCTTTTTTAAAAAGAACAGCTTAACTAAATATTGTATAATACAACTTGTTCTGCAACTATAGACATATTGTGGTCACGATTGGTCTTGAGATGTTTAAAACATAATATTTCAAGCGAAAAGCGCATTTTTGGGGGTTTTTATCAGTGCATAGTATATAAGCCACTTTTTTTTTTAGCACATCAACGCTTGCTTGTTTTTAGAGCATAAACTTCCGGGCATTAAATCAGTGTTAGGTATGATGTATGGAAAAAAAATAATAGCCAATACGTTATAATATTATGACGTTGCACAAAACCGTGTAGAAATATTCTTATCGTTTTGATTTCCAAAGGTTTTTCTTATATCAAAACACCTGTCACGTCAGCAGAAAGGACTTGGGCCTTCGACGAACAAAAAATACAATCAACCTCGACACAATATGTGTTTTCTATAACACAATATAACACTAATCTTTTTCCAAACCACTCTGAGGGACGATTTTCCACGGTTACAACAAGGTGAGTTACCGGTAAAGGGCAAAGTCAAAAAAGGGGGGGGAGGAGGATTATTCCCCATCAAAGCTCACACGGCAATTATTAGTGTCCAGGGCAAATTTCCCTAATGTAAGTATACTTGCCGCACTGGGCGGCTTCTTCATTGAATACCCTCTCATGGTTGGACTGTTTTGTGTAATTTTCAACTACCAAAGGAGTTATGCTACTCTTTGAAAATTATAGTAGGTACTGAATACCGGCTATGTAATGACCCGACCCGATGGCCCTTTCTGTCGTTGGCGGCTTCCGTATAGTCTCCAAATCGTTTTTTTTTATTATTACATTAATAACAACAATAATAATAATATTATTATTATTACCCGACGAATCCCAAGTACGTGCTGACCGCATAGTGGTCCACAAAAGTAAAAATCCGGTCAAATCAATTTATTTTTAATGTATTTTCTTTTGGAATTTTCCATTCTCGTTTTCCTTATGTGTCAATACAATTGATATAATATGCTTTAAATTGGTCGGGTTGGAATCCAGTCCAGGGCTATGTGGGGTTAAGTGTACCGAGATGAATTGAATAACTAATAATTTCCGATAAAAACTTACTGCGTTTCAAATGGCCGTTGAACGTGGATTTTAATTGCTTTTTTGGAAAATAAATAGAGCTATTTAATGGTATAGAAATATCGTTAAAAAATGTATTGTTATTATGGACAAATGACGTTTGAAAAATATCTCATTTTGATGGTAAAATTTGCAAAGAATAGAGTCTTTGAACTATGCTTCACGTCCAACCAATTTCAACTTAAAAAAGTAAGATCTACAGAGTATATTTGCATAATTTTCAGCTGCAATAACATCAGTTGAATTGTGGGTGGTAAAGTTGCAGAATTATTCGAATTTGTATACTCTATATTATGTTTTATACATTACCAACCTTAATAAACGGGGCCTTATTTGTGGAGTGTTTTAGAAAATAACTGAACAACAAAAGTAAACTACGCTTGTGTACACTTACACGTACTTGGAATTTAGAAAAAAATATTATCCAAATAATTTGGAGCGATTTTATATATTTTTCTTTTGTCATTTCAGTAGACCCGGTAAAAAAAACAAACGTTTTCAACCACCGTGCACCAGTTGTGTGTGAGAACATTGATCGCCGCCGTATATAAGAATGTATGATAATATTAGGTATATAATATCATTATTCTTGAAAAATATCAAAAATAAAATTACAACTTCGTAGTCATTGTGTGTTGTATACGTCAAATGGACGTGCGCATTATCCGACGTGTACAAGGTAATTCGGACGTTTCATTATAATAATATTACATTATATCAAACATCATACAGGGTGGTTGTTACAAGCGTTGAACAATAATGGAATTATTTGTCTCGCTGCATATGTTAGAGCTGTCGAGAGTGGTCGACTTTTTAATGTAATCAAGTTCAAAGTTATTAATTTTAGAACTGAACATTAGGTCGGAGGAGTTGTAGTAGTATTACTCTCTAAGAAATCATAATGTATTATTATTACCCACTCCACCTACCTACTGTCTTGAATTTAAGTTTAAAAGGATTCGAACAACACTATTGACCGGATAACATTTTTCAATAATTACAAATTATTCTTAATTTGGAAAAGGTCAATTAAAAGGTGCCTTCTTAGACATCTTTTTTCTGAAGACTTTGCTGAACAAATCCAGTAAATCTTGTAAATAAATCAAACAAAATGAGTGTCTTATGAATTTTCGATCTCACCGACTTAAAAACGTTATCATGTCAAGAAACCATTAGTTTTATTTAAGAGTATCTAAGTACCGTTTAAGTTTCCAAAGCCGATATGGTTATGGAAAAGATATAAAAAAAAAGGGTATACAAATATAGGTATATTCAATAATTTAAATGTTTGCTATTTTACTGGTATTATTATTATTTTTTTTTTTTGGTCAAATTGCATAAACAATATAATAAAGAAATATAATAAACTATGTAAAAAAACACTTTGCCACAAAAATTGTTGTTTATTTATTTATTAAAGAAACAAACGATTTTTGTATTCTCTCCTGGCTTATCCTGGTTGATGTTAAATCGTTTTTTATGAGTCTATGTTTGCTAAAGCCACGTTAGGCTTTAGGTTACACGTTAGGTACTAAGGTACCTAATTGAATAATTAAAACAATTTGTTTTTTTTTTTAAGTAAGACTTTTTTAAGCGCCACCAGAAAATATTAAGCAAACGCCTCAGTCCTTGCAACCCTTGCAATTTTCCCTTAGCTTCCCCTCTGCAAGTTAAAAAAAATATATCCCAATATTGATATGCGTTTCAGTCATCAGTGAAAGAACGTAATTTAATATATATAATACCAATTTTTGACTCGATGAGTTTGACTATTATAATATAGTATTTTTTTTGGGGGGGTTTTTTAATGAAAACTTAGCCCCCCCCCATGAATTTTCACCTGCGAGTGCCCTCGACCACGACACGACGCTTGTGGCTTAAGTATTAAATATATAGATCACCCTGTACCACCTACTACTGTGTGCTCATCCCAATGGAATATTATGCATTGGCGGCGGCGGTGCCGGTGTCATTATTTTTCCACCACGGCTATATATTATAATGTTAAATAGGTACCTCTACACAGGCTACACACACAGGCGACCCGTGGTAGGGGAAACCGTCCAAGCCGGCAGCGGCGGAGAGCCGGTCGTAGACCGCCACCGCTGTCAATACTGTCCCGTTCTTCTTTGGGCTCCAATACCCGTGTGTACTCCTGCACATATACTTGCTTGCTTGCTTACTTACTTCGAATCTGTAACATCCAGGACTCGAGTCAAGTCGGTGCCAACGGGTGTCAACACACACACAGGAGCAGGAGGTTCGACCACACACAGCAGCAGCAGTTTTTCAAGAAGAAAAATCAAAAAATCATGAGGGAAATCGTACACTTGCAAGCCGGCCAATGCGGCAACCAGATCGGAGCCAAGGTAAACAAATTTATAATAATCAACAAACTAACCCTAGTGTAATAATATATTACCACCACTATCACTATACCTGTGTGTTGAGTTCATCCGGCGGTTCGGTCGATGGTATATATTGCAAAAGAGCCCGCGTCTCGGTCCAACGTGTATCCGGGCCGTGCCGGTGTTAGCGCCGCATTCCACGGCCCCCAAAACCTATATTGATTGTCACTCTGTTGCTATTATTAGTAGAGCTGAAAAAAAAAACAATTTTGATTAATTATAAAACAGTTGAGTACAGAATAGCGGGGTGTTAAGAAGGTAGGTAATTGTATACAGGCTGTGAATGGCCAAAAATGTCAAGACAGAAAAACCGATGAGAATATATTATTATAATAACACATTATCCGTGTGAATGTGTTTAAAGTTTTAGGTATTTTTTCGTCGTTGATGTATTTTTTAATAAATTATTTTTAATAAAAAAAACCAGTCGAATCGCGCTCAAGCACCGGGATCAGGTTTTCATCGTGTTCACTGTGTGAATATTTTTGCGATTTACAAACAATATATTCAAATATATACAAGTTGACCGTTATACAATTATTAACCTTCCATAAGCACATTATATGCTAGTGGCGAACATTTGCTAGTGTCACGATTATTACCATAGGAAAACCAAAACTAGTTTTCCAACGATTTCACAAGATTATAATATCAGAAATACCTAAAAATTATACTTAAAATTAAATTAGATTGTTATAAAATATATTTAGCCGTTCGAAAACAATTTTTTTTACCATTAATAGGTACGTTTAATATTTCTTTTTATTAGGCCCAAGATAATCATCAAACTTTTGACCAAAAAAAAATACAATTTTAGCATAAAATGCTCGGAGAACTCTTTTATTTATTTATCAATCCAGTGATCCAAGACAATTAAAATGTAACTACATACTTAAACAAATATATTATACTTCTTTTATATAGAGATTATATTATACCATTATATCTACAGTATCTGGGGTATAGGAAACATCAGTAATTATTAAAACCAATAAGAAGTGGTGCAGTTCGTTTGGTTAAAATTCGAAAAATTCACCTTAATAGTTATTATGTGTTAAAGTACAATACTTGTGTAGGTTAAATATGAGTCTACTTTTGAACAATTTATTTAGTCAAACAACACACAATTAATTACACATAAAGTATAACGATGATGATAGACGATAAAGAATTATGAAGAATTTGTTAATGTTAAATGAAACTATTTTTTTTTGTAAATACAAATATAAACTGAAAAATATTACTTGTCTTATTAAATTTTTAATGATATTACATTGGTCTAAAATATGCAAAATTCTTCGAACATGCTGGTATATCTGTAAAACATGCAAAATAAACATTTTTCAGACAGTCTTCTGCGTGAAAGAGAAATATACATTCAATTAATGTGTATCACATTCTCTAAATTTAAACGAATCGTTAAAATTGTTAAAATCCTACAAACTCTAGCTGTTATATCGGTTGTATTTAATAAGAGGCGCCTATTATTATTATTATTATTATAATAGATCAGTACAACAGCTATTATGCACAAATAGGTAATAAAAAAATAACGGACCGACAAAAGCGGTTTTGTTCGAGTGGATTTAGCGATTTGCATGCAAAGCTTCTATCATATTATTATTATTATTAAAATATATTATATTATATTATACTGTCGATGGGAACCCGCCGGCTGTATGTTATAAGCCCAAGACGATCGTTTCTGGAAGATAACACCGTTAATATTATAATTTGGCCAAGATGCATTTATGTGTCTAGTATGTGTTTAGTAGGTACACACTACACCGGTAACGTTTGAGGTATATCCGGTTTTTCATTTTAGCTTCGATGCAAAGCAGAGATGCTATTTTTTTTTTTTTTTTTTATGATGGTTTACCGGTTTCACGTGCATTAGAATTTACATTATTATTATTGCTGCACTTGTGTACTTAAATAATATAAATGTATATATATATATATATTTTTTTTTTTTTTAAATAACTACCGTCACTCGGTCGGCGGCCAGCAAAATATCATTATAGGTACATCTCTGGTCGTTTGTACATATATTATTATTGCACCTAATCCTGTACAATATGTAATTATTCAATGCACAAGGCGAATCATCCCAGGGTGTTCACCTCGACGGCCATTATTCATCGTTTGTCCGTTTATGTGTTTTTCATGATATTTTCAAAAGAGTTATGGGCCACCTCTCTCCAAAGTTATGCGTACAGATATTATTATTATTATTATTATTATAATCGAACGGATCCCCGACATTCCTTTTTGTGTTTTCCGCCCGTCGCCGATTATTGTACCCGTGTCACGTACCGAGTATACGATTCGTTCAGTCATTGACGTTCTGCTATTGTGATAACCCAGATAAAATATATTAATAGTCGTAGCAAAATAAAAAATATATAAATAAAAAGAATAATAATTGTAAAACCGATTCGTCGGTCAAACGTCGACGGCGATTAGCGGTCGTTCGACGACGGTTACAATAAATTAATATTATTCATTATACATACACAGGCTGACAGGTAGGACACTGATGATTTTCTTGGATACTATGAACATTTTGAAAATTTATTATTTTCCTTATACTCGTATAGCTTATAGATACATACATTTTACTATATTTGTCAATATTTTGAAATTTTATGTGCACTTCGATTTTTCCTCCTTATCACTGATAAGAAACACACTGATAACAATACCCTTATCAATCCCCTGATAAGGGAGGATAACCCTTACTCAACTTAGTCCTATTAGAACATAATATGTTTTTAATTCCATAAATATGTAGACAACAAACTGTAAAAAAAAAAAAGGATTGTAATGGGTTTTTAGAAAACCTAAGAACAATGGAAAATATTCAATCTTTACCTTTGTCGTAGCAAACGAACAGATTGATAAATGTTAACAATGCAAACAATGCTGACATTTTTTTTACAGTTTTTCGCTTACACGCTTATAGAGTAAAAAACATAATATGTTTCCTTTTAAATAAAAAACCAAGTCCATAGTCATTAAAAAAAAAAAAGGAGTGTCTTACATCAGATTGATCACCCTGTATATATATATAAATGTCTGTCGATAGAGCACTGGCCTGAATAATATTAATCAGTTCTTTGAACGATTATTATTATTGAAACGACAATCGAATTGTATTGAATAATCGGTTGGTTTTCGAAATTAAATGTGTAAGTTCAAAAGACAAAAAAAGAACCATGTACAGTTTAGGCCGAGCCAATTAATTTTTAAAAGCGATTTAACCACAGTGCAGTCCAAACCAGTAGTAAGTCTATAATTGAGCCAATAAACAGTAAAAATTTTAAAGGTTTAAGTTAGAAAAATACAATTTGTTTGTTTCAAGCATAACAGCAGCTATAAAAAACTGAACGCTCAGTGAACTCGGTAAATCCAATAATACATAATATTATTTCCTTTCTTCGGACTGCACACTGTGTGTATTTCAACATGGCGCATAAAAAACGAATAAAGATCAATTGTTTCCCCTGTAGATTTTGTTCCCATGGCACATTACACGAACGGTGGTATACAATTAGGTGTATTTATTTTTTTTATTATTATTATACTTGGAAATCCGGCCGATAAGTCTTTGGCGATCGTTTGCAGTAACTGTACATTTTGTTGCTTGTTGAACCGATTTGAACCTAACCGACGAAAGCCAACTCGACGTTGTGCTATTAGAAAAAATATTATTATTTCATTGTCAATTACCAAACAGTTTGGTCCAAACTAATTAAATAATTTCCACCAATTGCATTCCTTTACTAGGGAGGGCACCTTCTGGTTTTATCCAACTTGTAAATTAAACACAGACTATATTATAAAAACATAAAGCTCACTCGGCATGCAAACAAGAGCCATGACGTCACATGACTCAGATCAGTGTGACCACGGATTCAAGCATAAAATTGCATGATAATTATTGATGAAAAAAAAATTATCTAACCTGTGATTGTTTGAATCTTATGATCGATAATTAAATTTCAACCATTCGACTAGCGTTTCGATCATTCTATTTAAAAGTAATCACACAGACTAAATGAAAACAAATATAGCTCAATGAAAAAAAACTGATTTGACTGAAAATGAAATTAGTGTGGCCACAACAAATTCAAGCATACGTTTTCATAATAATATCACAGACTAGGAAAAACGAATGATCTAATCTGTGGTAATCTAATGGTGAGTTGTCATTTAGATCTTATGGTCTATTTAGGAGTTTGTGCAATAATATTGTAAAATATCTGCACAATAATTTACACTAATTCATGCGGCCACACTGATATCTTCGCGCGAGTACCTGATCAGTCTCTTTGAAAATTTCCTTTGTTCGAGTGAGCTATCTGTTTTCATAATAATATATTCCGTGGACACTAGACCATGGTTTTGTGATGATTTTGGATTGGACTGATTATTATTTGTGTCATCCGAAAAGAAAAGAGAACATAACGGATTTGGCGAGTCCGATTTAACTGGTCCGGTCTTGTGCGATGCCCAAACGAGTCTTTGTGAAAATGATAATAATACTAACGACCGTCGTAAAGGTCAAAACAAAAATTATAACATAACGTAATAGTACCTACCTACCTGCCTACCCACTATACCTACCTGTTCTTCTTTAACCCAGTGGCTGATATCAGGATTTCGCATAAACCGGTCCGGCAATAGTAATAATATTATTGTTCGTTTCCCACACACGAGGTGGTCAACCTCTTTGTCTAAACCCTTTCTCTTGTGCTAATGCGTTTTGTAAAAGGGGGATTTTTTTTTATTAGACTCTGCCTATACTATAATATGAATAATAAACAACCGCGGCGAGGAGAGTTGCATGCGATATATCTGCACAAATGCTGAAGGAAATGAATAAATTTAGTCGAATTATATTTTCTATTTTACTGGAAACTTTTCCTCGTGATGAAAAAAACATAATAGAAAAAGAT